CAATCCCTCAGCACTCATCACTCCAGGCTCATGTTAGCACTGTCGGAAAAAGGAAGGGTGCTCACTTCTCATGATGTCTGACAGAAATGCTGTAAGTGAACGTGCTCAGGGAGCAGCTCTTGACCGAGGAAAGAGGGGAGCATAACAAAAATGCTCTGGCTTCCTCCCTGATCAAACAGACAGCTCTGAAGTATGGACAAGGTCTCCCAGGGCCCTCTGATATTCGTAGACATAACCTATCTTTGTACACACTTTAATGGCCCCCTTATAAACTCTTGGTGCTCAGATCCTTGCCTCAAGCTCTGCTTATACTGAACTCAAACCAAGATAGGTTATAACCATTGTGCTCCTTGTAACTTGCACTGATGTTGGGTTAGCCCTTCCCATCACAATGCATGTTAAAGACAGAATACTTTTAAATGCTCTATTGCTTTTAAAAGCTAGAAGGCATGGGGGGGGACCTAGACGATGTGCTATCTGCTATGTCCATTGGGCAATTACCTTTGAGGTTTTGATTAAGGCACAGTGGGTACAGAAAGGCGAAGGAATTGAAGCACTTGGCCAGGGAAGGCAGAAGCCCAGAGCGGGAGCTGGGGGCATTTGCATTAGCTGCACCTCTGTTCTCAGGACCTGCACCAGGTCCAGCTTTCCTCTTTCATGTCAGCTCCCCAGTGCCCAAAGGTAGTTGAATTTTTGAATCCTAGGTTTTTATTCTATTCTGGGTCTTTTCTAAAAAGCTGCAAACAACAAATCAAACAATTTCCTTGCATTTCATTTAACTTCTTCCTACAGTCTAATAGAGGGACACACCAAGATTTGGGAAAGTAAGCCTCTGTGCTGGTTTTAATCTCCAGTTTTGTGATGGTTATTCTCCACTTTTACTGCAGAAGAGGCTCTCCCTGATCACCCATTCAACTTTGGCTTATCCAGGTGAGATGAACCTCACTACTTTCCCCATTCTGTTTTCAGGCTCAACACAAAACAAGACCAGAGCTTCCCTTTGCCTTCAGTTCATAGTAGGGTCCCATGTAGTCTACTTTAACGGTCCTGGCTTTTCCCTTCAGCAGATGATCTTTCAAAACTCATTTCCAACCTTCCTCTACCTCACATCTCAACACTATGGATAGTCATTGATTTTTCTCTTTGTAAAGTCTTTCAGATTTCAGTCAATTTTTTCCTCTCAATCAAAGCACTATATGACACTGTTGTCTTAATAGCGTAATCAAGAATGGTGAGAAAATAAATCCAACTATATACTTTTAAAAAGCATGTGTAACCTAATATAGCAAATATAATATCCAGTTCTTTCAACTTAGAAAATGAGATGTTTGCCTGAAAAATGCCATCACTTCTGTTCCATGGAATTATATCTTCATCAACAACTTTTTGCTCTAGCTACACAAGGGCCAATATCAGCTATAAGAAGGAATGGGTCCATTTCATTACCCAGGTGAAGTGTTTACATCTCCCTAAAGAGCTGGACATTTGAAACCCACCTTCTTCACCTCTCTGATCCTTGCCTGGACCCTTTTTATTTGTTATTTTAAGGTAGGGTCTCACTAAGTTGCCTAGTGTGGGCTTGAACTTGCAATTCACCTTCCTCAGCCTCCCAGAGTACTGGGATCACATGTGTGCCTCTGTGCCTACTTTCTGCTCATTTTCACCTATTGACAAAGAGAAAACCACTAAGTATGGGAAACTTTGAAAAGTTTATACTCTAAAGACAGCAAAGTCCCAGGCCCCCAGGGCTTCCTTGTTCCCCTCTGGGTTTGACCTCGTGAGTGAACAAGGAGGTATTATAACCACCAAGGAACGCAAGTTTGTCCCAAATCCTTTTTGCAGCAGGAGATTTGAATTGACTAGGGAACTGTTATACCTTGGAATCTGTTACACCTTGGAACCTAGGGCAGCCTGGCCAGCTCCCACCAAGAAGTGACCAGAGAGAGAGCCAGAGAACTGAGGCACTCTGAATATTTTTCAAGCCAATAGTCTATAAAAGGAGTTAGGATCCCAAAGCTGAGCATAAAGCCTTGGCAGACTACAGGCTGGGTGTCACCACAGCCTGAGTGGAAAGCCCTGCTTCATAAGTAACTCTGAGCAGGAGAGTGCAGGGCAGACACAGCAGAAGAGGAAACTCAGCCCATCTGACAGAACCAGGGCTGAGGCTGCAGCTTGCACATGAGATTTCCTCTTGGGAACAAAGTCAGGGACCACATCAGCAAGTCAGGGAGTCTCACCTCAGGCTGGGTCTTGCCTCTCCCCTTATTAAGACCCTCAAAGGCAAGAGAATGTCTAGACTTGTCATCAGAGATGTTCAAGACCACAGACCTCATCATTCTCAAGGTACTGCCTTTGTCTCTCACTGTCTACAGATGGTATGACAGCTGGGGTGTGCCTGTGTAAGCTGGTGGGGATCAGAGATACCCCATTCATGGTCCCGGCCTTCACAGAGTTCACAACCCACTGAGGAGAGGCATGGTGGCAAATCATTTGCAGAGGGCTGGTGGGGCCTGTGAGAGTTCTGAGGTAACAAGAAGGAAAGAGGGGTAATCAGTTTGCTGCATAGGAGAAAAGGAAGACTTCAAGCAGAGGTTTCTCCATGGGGCCATGAAGACTGAAGACTAATTTTCTAAGTGAAGAGGGGAAGAAATCAGGAAGAGACTTCAAATCTGCCAGAAAGCATGGCTTGAACATTTGGCACTGAAGCTCAAAGCTGCCGCGGGTATGAGGATGTCAGTGAGAGGGGTGGTCACAAGAGATGTCCAGGTGACTGAGGCAAAGTAGCTGCAGTTGCACTTTACACTTCCTCCACAAGAGGAATGAATGGTCCTAGAAAATCCAGATGGTATCATGGCTTCAAGGACTTTTCCTCCATCTCTTGCTTCCTAGTTCCTTCTTTTTTGGCTTTGTTTTCCAGCCAAGTACCCTCCGACTCGTGGCAAATATGACCATCAATACATACAGAAGATCAGCAACCTGCTGGAAAGACAGTGTCCTTTCTCCATTAGTTTCCAGCCAATACCAAGAGAAGGAAGAGCCTATTGGCCACAATTCTGCCATGTGGGCTTTTCTAAACCAATGTCTGTAGCAGAAAAATGTGGCATTTTCATTGACTAGACCTGGGTCATGGGCTGATTCCTCCACCCAGGAATGGGTCAGTTCATCCCATCCAGTAATGACTTTCAGTTGTAGAAAGCTGGAACCCCAGGAAAAATTAGGGTGTTATTGCCAAAATGGAAGCCCATGCCATGCAAGAAAAGCAAGCATGCTTTCCTACAGGATCCCAATTGGAGCCCTTCCATCTGAGATGAGGCTTCTGCAGACAAGAAATCCCTCCTGCCAACACAATAGCTTCCCTATCTTTGATGTCCCTCAGTTTCCACACTTGCATTAGCTCTTCTGCCAGAGATGCATACTTGTTTGTTTTGTCTAGACAGATTTTTGTGATACTTCTGCAGAGGGAAACAGCCACATCAGTAAGGTCCACTGTTTAGTTAGCTGTACTAAGTAGCAGAATGTCTGCACGGCTCTGGTGAGCTTTTTGTGCATCTCCAGCTTTATCATAGTAGCCATTTTCCAGCACCTTTTCACCGAGCCTATTTTCAAACAAATAAGGGCTGGGCTTTGTAATGATCATCTTGAGCCTGTGTTAATTTGCTCCCACCAGCTGGGATGACTTCCACCTTCTGAATCTCTCAGCGATTAGATTTTGCTTCTCAAATAAATGTTCTCAATGGCAATGTCACAGCCTGAGCTTATGAAAATAGATCTTTAAAGCTCACAAAATGACCTGTGTTCTGTTTTATTTCTGCCTTTGTTGTAGCTACTTTACCTGCATAATACTGGCTAAGAAAATGTTGGACAAACTACTAGAGAGCAGGTGTCTCTGCTTCTTTCTTTCTGCTCTGTCCTGCCTTTCTTTCTTCAGCAAAAACTTAAAGAACAACTGTGATGCCTTGGGCTCTGGAGGTAGAGTAGTACTTTTAAAATTCTCCTAACATTATACATATCATAATGTGATACTCATTATGTAATTTGATACATATATATATATATATATATGAAACACCAAATGTTCAAATATAAATTTTATATATTTTTTAATTTTATATCAGGCTTATTTGACATGCACTATTCTAAGAACATTACACGTAAAAACTCTCTTAATCTCGCAATAATATAATGACAAATACATTTCACACATGAGGAAATTGAGGCAATGAGTCATCAAATGACTTTCTTAATGTCACAATCACATAATTATTAGAGGAGAAAGCATCTTAACCAAGTTGCAGAATCACTACATTGTACTACTAACCCATCTATGGAATAAACATATGAAAAAGAATTATGAATTGTGGTTAATACTATGGTGGATATGTTTAAGTATCTTCTAAGGAGCCCATTCTGCTCTGGCCCTGTAGTGAGGGAAGACATCTCTGAGGAAGGGATGCATGAACTGAAATTTGAGGATGAGGTGGAATTAAGTTGGTGCTGGGAGAGGAGAGGAGAAAGAAAGGGCAGGAGACAGCAGTGGAATACACTTTCCCCCAGGACCCAAAGGAAGCTTGGTGGGATCCTGTCCAGGGAGCAACCCCATAGAGACAGGCAAGTAGATTAGGGACACTGAGGACCTGCTTGCTTTTAAGGGTTATCTATTTGTAGTAGGCAGAACAATGGCTCCCGAAGTACCTTTGCCCTGACCTCTAGAACCAGCGATGTTGCTTTACATAGCAAAGGGACTTTGCAGATGTGATTAATTTTACTATGGATTTGATGGGGGATAATAAACAAAAGGGCCCAATTTCTGTACATAAGTCCTTAAAAGCAGTGCCTTTTCCTAGCTGTCATCACAGAAAAATATGACTACAAAGGAGAATTAAAATGATATTATTTGGAGATACAGGAATGGGGATGAGCGAAGGAAGGAAGGCAGGAAGGCAGGAAGGCAGGAAGGCAGGCAGGAAGGCAGGAAGGAAGGAGGGAGGGAGGGAGGGAGGGAGGGAAGGAAGGAAGGAAGGAAGGAAGGAAGGGTCTGTAGAAGCTAAACACACCGAGGAGCAAGTATTCTCTTCCAGAGCCTCCAAATATTTATGTAGCCTTCAGGAGACCTTGATTATACCACTGAGATTGGTCAAATTCTGACTCTAGAACTGTTAGATGATCCCTTTGTGTTATTTGAAACTAGGTTTGTGATCATGAGTTAATAGCAGGACTAAGGGTATAGCTCAGGGGTACAGTGCATGCCTGTTTGCATGCATAAAGCCCTGGGTTTCAGCCTCAGCACCACAAAAGTAAAATAAAACAAATGTGTTAACAGCAGGAGTAGGAAACTAACATGTGCCATGAAGACTAATTTCATCACATTATTTCTTCATGATTAAGTGGTTGAGATGTTTAATTTTATATGTTAACTTAACTAGACTAAGGGAGATCCAGATAGCTGGTAAACTATTATTTCTAGATATGTCTGACAGGGTATTTCCAGAAGAGATCAGCATTTGGATCAGCTGACTGAGGAAAGATCAACATTCCAATGCAGGTGGCATTATCCAACCAACTGAGGTCCCAGAGAGGACAAAAAAGCAAAAGAAAGGACACTTTGCTCTCTTTCAGCTAGGATACCCAACTTTTGTTCTAGGCCATCTGTGTTTCTGTTTCTTGGACTTTTTGATACAGACCAAGATTTACACACAGCCCTCCCCTCACTCACTCTGCACGTTTGTTCCTCAGGCATTTGGACTAAAACTAATTTACTATTGATTATGCTTAGTCTGTAGCTTTTAGTCATTAGGTTGGGGAACTTCATGACCTCCATAATTATATGAGTCAATCCCAATGTTAGATAGATATAGATTTGATATAGATGATATGGACCGATGAGAGTGAACCTTTTAGAGTGTTCAATGATAGCAAACAGACTGCTGCATCACGTATGTCACAGGTTCTTCACCACTGATATAGATGATAGAGATGTAGACATAAACGTAGATGTACATGTGACACAGACACAGATGCAGATATAAATATGTCCTGTTGATTCTGTTTCTCTGGAGAACCCTAACATATGGTTCAAACATCAGCCACATGCTTCTGAGATGTTACCAAGTTTTCAGTCAAGGTTGGAGAAAGCTAATTGCCATGGTTTGGATCTTCAATGTCCCTTGTGATAGCTAACTGTTGTATCAACTTGAGTAAGAAATGCTTACCTAATTGGATTAGTATAGTACTGAGTGTGGCTGAACGGATTTACTGAAGACGGGAGACACACTCTGGGTGTGAGTGGCACTAACCAATAGGACTACAATCTGAATAGAATGAAAACAGGACAGAAGAAGGAAATCTCACTTTGGTTTCTTCAGAGTAGTTCCAATCTTCACTATTGCCTTGGGAAGTCTGTATTCACCCTTCAGCATCCTATCTCAGACTCCTCTGCCTTCCAGTTCAGACCCTCTGGTTACCAACAGGTCTCTGCAGTGAGCTCCAGGTCTTTCCCCTTTGACTGGATCACTCAACATTCCAGCATGCAAGCAGCCCTTTTGTATTTTCCACATCTGACCCAGTAGGCGGGTGCTGTAAATCGATATAAGCACATATATTTATTAAATCTGTTACTCTAGTAACCCCTGGCTACTACATTTCTCAAAAGTGCATATGAGGAAGGCTTGGTCCTCAGGGTAATGCTACTGGGAGATGGTGGTACTTTTAAGAGATGGTGTCTAGTGGGAAGTCTTTAAGTCATAGGGGGCATGCGCTTGAAGGGAAATGTGGGACCCTATTGCCTACCATTTTTCTCATCATCTCTTTTGCTTCCTGGCTACAAACTGAGCACCTTTGCTCTGCCACGAACTCTGCCATGATGTGTGCCCTTGCCACCATCCCAAAATCTGGTACCAACTAATCATGGACTGGAACTTCCTGTACTGTGAGCTTTCTCTCTTAATGAGTTATCATCTCAGGTATTTAATTATACTAATAAAAACCTGACTAACACACTATTGAATTTCCTACATTACAGGGCAAGTATTTGTCCTTACTTCAATCACAGCATGTGCAATAACTCCTTCTGTTATCATCAACTGCTAGCACTAAAGTCACATGGCAGCTAAGGTTTCCAAGGGCCTTGATACTAGCTGAATCTTTGTGCAATTCTGGGTTAATATGGAAGACTCAGGTGTGTGTGATAGTTGATTGTGATGTTAACTTGAATGGAGTAAGAAATGCCTACAGGGCTTAGTGAGGCAGAGTTCTGGGTATATCTGTAGATGACTGACAGGTAAGCTGGAAACTGAGAAAGGAGGACCCACCCTGAATGTGAGTGACACTGACCCATAGGCCTGCAGTCTGGCTGGAATAACAAGGGAAAGGAGGAGGAAGTCCTCCCTTTCGCTTCTTCGGAGGAGCTCCAGTCTTCCTCACTTGGATATTCCTCTCCAGGTACTTCTGGCTTGAAACTTGAACTCCTCAGTCTTCTTCCAAAACAGGCTCTTCAGCTTTTCAACACAGACTTGCACAGGACTCTGCAGTGAGCTCCAGGCTTTTGACTTTCAAGTGGATTGTCAACTCTCCAGAATACAGATGGTCATTTTGCATTTTTGCCTTCCTCCGTCCCTGGTTCTGCAGTCAGCCACTGTAAGCCTACTTAGTAAATCCTTTATATGTGTGCGTAATCTGTTCTTCAAGCGAACTCTGATATAATGTGGTAATCAGCTTTCCATCACTGTGACAAAATATCTAAAAAAAAAAAAAAAAA